GTGTGGGTCCTCGCTTGCAAGCATTCGTCTAGCGGATTAACAATACAAAGAAAACGGTATTTAACACATACGTGATACATTGACCTATAGCAAAGAATTGTACATCTATTCTCTCTCTCTCTCTCTCTTTAGAATTATCTCTTTCTCTACCCCTCTCTTTTTATTTCGTGTTATTCTTCCCTCTTCGTTGCCTTTTCCTTGTTTTCTTCCCAATCTCTCCATCTCTCTCCTTCTATTTCTCTCTTTCTCTATTTCTTTCTCTCTCTAGTCGAATCCTCTACTCTCTTCTCCTTCTATGAAGTTCTATCCAAAGACAGGACTGGTGTGCATAGTCCGCCTAATCCTCCGTCTCTCTCTCTTTCACAATTTCTTTCCCCTTCTCTCTTGTTTTTCTCCCGCGTCACTATTTTCAGGGGGTCCATGCCTGATGCTATTCTCTATCATCCCTTCTCCATCCCTCTCTTTCTCACCCCCCCCCCCCCCCCCCCCATTCTCTCGCTCTCTCTCTCTCTCTCCCGCTCTTTCTCCCTTCCTCTCCGTCTGTCTGTCTGTCGGCAACATAATTCGCGTAATAAAACTTATGGATGGTTATTCGCTATAAAATATGCAGGCGATTAAACCTAATTAGGTTATGTTCATGATAATGCCAAAGCCCGTACACACACTTGCACATCGCATGGAAGGGGTGGAGACAAGATAAAGCTTGTTAGAGTAAAATACAAGGGGAAAGAGAGAAATTGGTTTTGAATGATGTCGGAATATTGGAAAGGAGAAGGTAGTTTGAAAACTTGAAAAGCACCCTCATCAATAAAAGCTGCATTGGAATAGATAATTTTAAGCTGTTATAGTAACATGCAATCCCCTTACCGCAAACAGCTCCAGTATACTTCATTATGATCAAGTGGTTTCAGAGTCTAGCCAAAAGGAAACCTTTGAAGATAATAGCTAGGTGGGACCCTGGCCTGATGCAATTAGTATCCTAGAAAAGATTCTCACCCAAGGACAAAGATTGAAGCAGATAAAAATGATGGGTATTCAAAGTGAAACCTTAAAAACGCGATAAAATAGGGGTGCTTGCAGGCCTGGGTTATTCAATATTCATATTTCTTCTCTGCCATTTACATGTGAAAACTCCCATATTTAACACACTATAAGATAGGGACAACTTGTCTGAGTCGGGGAAGGGGGAGGGGGTCACACCAAATCTATAATGTACCGGGCAACAGTACACGCAAAACATGAATATATACAATGTTCTTGCAATTGTTATTTTCTTCGAATAAACATATTATTCAATATGCATTTTTATTTCTTGATATATGAACAACAAAATTGATACACATTGGTGGTACTGTTCAACATGATAATTATAGTAATATTATCATAATCCATAGTTTAACATAAATAAATGTATTTCAATCTGTTCATACAGATTTTAAGGCGAAAATGGTCACTGATCATCAATGATTAAATAACAAAATAAAACCCAAAAATAAGTTAGATCATAATATTGTTTATATCTTTTCAAAGAGAAAAGAAAGCATTACGTTAACCGACCAGAGTAATGGTTACAACATGTAACATTCATACTTCCTTTGAATGACAATAACAATCACATACTATTATTGCTATACACGTACAAGCACGGCTAAAATTAGACCAAAACATTGACTGTGTGTACCTTCGGTAAAACGTGCCCAAGATGCGGGCATTTTCGTTTATGGCTATCTTTTTCACAGTGACATTACACATTTTGTATTTCGACGAAACAGACAGACAACAATGGACCATTAATGGAAGGTAACCTCGAATACATAATGTAAAAAGACATCTTATTATAAATATTATAACCTAACAAAATCTACAGTATAGGCCTATATGTTAACGAATAAAATGGACAAATATTTGATATCGCCAAATGAATACATGACCTATTTTGGTTCAACCAAAAAATTACTTTAAGCTGGTTCAGTCTTTAGAAAGAAATAAAACCAAGCAACTACACACTGCATAAAGTCATAAACAATACATTACAAACAAGTTGTGCTTATTTTGACGACAGCACACTTTTCTAGAGGAAGAGAAACTGTTTCAGCTCAGGATATAAGCAAATAATTCATTTTAAATGCTATAGGACGATATATCATTGATACGTAAGATATAACGTACTTATAATGGAACAAATTATAGAGCATGATGTGCATTACATGATGAGTCACCCATATTCCCGTTGTTTTCTGTGATGAGATGGAGATCTTGATTGGTAATCTAACACTCATTTCCGACAATCAACAAGAATATTATATCGATGACTGACGTCATAATAACATTTCACAAGTTTCTTGACAATGCCATTATTATTGGTAATTTATTGGAAAGGTATGTTTAAGAGCTACATGGTCAACAACCAGACTTGTTGGGAATACTTCGCAATGTAATACATTATTTATCATGTACGGTGTCGAAGCACGAGTCAGTGTCCTCCCTAATGTACTTCAATCAGATAACAGGCATGTCATGACAATTTAGTGACTCATACTAATTCATCCCTCTCATCTAACAACAGATATGCTTGATGTGGGAGCTATAAACTAAAAGCAGATGAACAAGCAGAAAAGGCGACTCATATCGGTATAAAACGATAAAGAGTTTTCAGGATATTCTGTTTGCAATTTTTGGAATTTCACTTCTTTAAAACATGGAATAGAAGTCACAACAGTCAGAATATTGAGGGATTGGTACAGATTTTCCCGCGTTTTTCTGTTGACGTTACAAAACTAACACTGAAGAATGACCACATGTCTTAGGTACAATGCATTTATAAACTAACTGTAGCTCCCTCAACTTTCTATTCTAGACATTGTCTGGTGTTCTATAAATAAAAAGCAAAGTGAAGACGTAAGAGATGAAGAAGTAGAGGAGAAATGGTCGCATCATGCTGAGTTTTTCTTCAATAGATCCTAAAAAGGGGTGTAACCAATATCCCTACGACTCCTGCCGACGCCCAGGGCAGGGGGGCTGGTGTTACCCCATCTTGAGGATGGTGAAGAAGTAGGAAGCTTTTCATACATTCAAGAAATGCAATTCACTCCCACTCAACCCCTCGGTATGGAATACAACCTCTCTTCAGCTAGTCTCTTAACACAGGCCTTTTAAATTATTCCTTCTACATACATATTTCAATATTTATATTTACAATCTATATATTCCAAGAATAGTGTAAAATTGTGGGTCTGACCCTGACGTTTCCTCAAAACAGGATTATAATCACATCACATAATATCCTGCACAAAAGTATTAGAGATGACGGCTAGAGATGTTTTGGTTGGTAAAATAACACATTACATCGTGGATGATGTATGTTTTTAAGTTTTAACACTTTGATAATTTGGAAACACTATATGCTACAAAATATGAGCATTATCAAACAAGAGTCTTGAGCTTAATAACGTAAAACTAACACTATTTTTTAAAATTCCAAACATGTTTTTTTTTTAATATAAGCCGACCTTGTATTCTCCATAGAAGACGAAACAGACACATAAATTCCGTACTGTAGATTTGAAGAGAACAATGATCAAAGGCTGCATTTTCTGGTCTCTAAGATATGAATCGTGATTCGTGACGTCATATTTCTGAGTGATATTACAATTTTATATCGAGTAGAGCATTGGTGAGATACTGTTGCCTTCATCAAACTTGGATGATCAAAATTCCTTCCAAAGTCCATTCCGAGATAGACTAGAGTACCTACCTAGGTTAGTTTTCATATCGACTGCTCTTAAATATTAATCAGGCCGTTGTCATCGCAATAATATATTCATTAATTAATAACTCAGGTTCAGGTATAGGGCACCACGTAGAATTTTAGAAATCGAGAAATTAATGAAATATTCTGTAGAAATCCCCTCCACACAAAGAGGGTTAGGGGGCTCCATGGTAATAGTGTTCAAAGCCGTAAACTGAGTAACACATTTGTTATGAATGATTGCCTTCACATTTTCGAACATTCATGTTTTAACAGTCGGAGAGCATTAATCGAGAAAAATAAACTTTAGCAACAAATCCACATAAAGGAAGGCGTAGGGACACCCTTATAAATCATTCCAATCAAAATAAGATCTATAACAAATAAAAAAATAATTTATTTATTCGTATGAATGGCGATTGTGAAAAGCGGATAATGAGGAAAATGTATATTACACCAAACTGAATATAAATGAAACGAATCTTAGCAGTTTAATTAACACCACGTGTACACGTATTCGGTTATTTGATTCCATAGTCCTGTCCTTCACCCTTATCAAGAGCTACAACTATAAAGTCTGGGAAGGCATTCTCTAATTAGGTCTGTATTCAAAGACTAGCCGAGCAGCCGTCCATTCCTCCGTGTTTTCATGATGAAAAGTTCCCAAAGGAAACTAAAGGCGTTTGATCGTCAAAATAGCACCAATTCACAACTCGTAAAATCGCTTTAATTTCCTTTCATCACACGAGGACAATCAACCCTCATCGTATTCTGCATTTTATCGTCAGAATGAGAATGCATCCATCACAACGTCTTCTCTATATTAACAAGGTCACAGAGTTGTCTCTTACTTCTTCACAACACTTTTAGGAGCAACAAAAATACTTTCATGCGTCGAATCTAAGCCTTTTAGTCCTACAATTTATAACTCCTTGGTCATTTCAAGTCTGACTTAAACATGTTAAATTAAACCACGTGATTACCATAAACATTGCATAAACATCTTCTACAACTCCTTAATTTTACATGAGGTCGGCTAGAGCAACGTCAGATTCTTTTTGTACGAGACTGCCGAGACATGATCGCACCAAAACTCTATCTTCGTACCGCAGTCACACACGAGACCGACCTCAAACCGACAACAGATCGAACGAACAATAATTACACTATTCCAAATGTTGAAAATGGGTCGGTTTGAAGTCGGTGTGAAGTCGGTTCGCGGTATGACTAAGTTATAGGCCTAACCATCTACTTGCAGCGCCTTGCTATTACTGATTAACTTCGATTACGATCTATATTATAGCATTTCCGTTTTTCTTTTGAAACAAGAAAAGATCAACAGTTTTGAGCAGATTAACATGGCTTTCAGCATCTATGTTGTCAATGAATAAATAAACATCAAAGGAAGACAAATTCAGCCACATACTTCACCATCTTACAATATAATATATGCAGTACTCGTAGAAATATTTCTCTAACATACGGATCGTCTTTGACTCAGACAAAAACCCAACACAGTCTGCCGATGCTCCCATGTCACATGGGATTCACCATTGTCAGTAAAGTTGCCAACAATGGTTTGACATTAGTTTGGAAGCAAGGTTACAATACATTGGAAATGATAAGGGAACGAATAGGGACCATAACAATGACATTCATATCAATCACAATAAAAAGTTACGTTCATTCACTCCAATGAGTCGATGACATACAATGTAGAATCAATGACATGGAAAATTCTTCTTCCTGATTGTATTCATCTCTTACTTGAAGTATTTAGAATTCATTATGACATCTTTGGAGTGAGTTGACAGTTTTTTAAATATACACCTTTAACATTTGGAGCGTCCATACTTTTGGTTTTGTCACTGGTATAATTATAAAGTCACGTGTTCTTGGTATACATACATGTACATGTTCACAGAAATGTTATACATATCGAGAATGAAATTAGAAAAACGTCCCCTTTTGACTTGTGTTCGAAATCGGCACGACTACCATCATGAGCTTGGATTATACCGCTGTTTCGTCACCGTTTCTGTCACGTCCGTTCTTCTCGTCACCCAGCGGCGCACAACAAAGTAAAGCAGGTGCCATTCGTTCTAAGAATCGCCTCCACGATCGCATCGTCTTTGCCGACATTATCCACATTCCGCTTGTTATACCAACTACGAGCGACATGAATATTTTAAGCATAAACACCTCAATGTTTGGTGTTGCCTCACCATCCATCCACACAATCCGATTCGAATGCTCATAAAAGAAGCACGCTACAACGATAGTCGCAGGAACAGTATAGAGCACGGAGAATAGTCCTATTTTAACCATGAGACGCTCTAGCTTATCAGTCTTGGTGCCGTCGTTTTTCATGACGGATCGTATCTTGAACAAAGAAATGAAACCCCCGAGAAGGAAGAGAGTACCCACGGCGAGGTAGGTGAACAAGGGCGCGATGACGAACCCAGTAAGTGCCTCCAGGCTTGAATTCCCAACAAAACACATGCCGGTGAGTTCGTCGGCATCGACGACGCGCATGACGAGGATGATGACGGTTTTGACGAAGGGGATGCCCCATGCAGCGACGTGGAAGTAGCTGCTGTTCATTTGAATAGCCTCGTGACCCCACTTGAGTCCTGCAGCTAGAAACCAGGTGAATGCTAAGATTACCCACCAGATAGAGCTTGCCATACCGAAGAAGTAGAGGATGAGGAACGTTACAGCGCACCCAGTGTTTTCCAACCCCTCCTGGATCAAGAACGAAGCAATGCCGTCGTCGTCACATGCGATGACGGCACGACCAGCGATCAACCGGACGATGTATGCGATGCTGAAAATATTGTAACAAATTGACAGAAATATGATGGGTCGTTCTGGGTACCTGAAACGCACTGTGTCGATGGCAAAGGTCAGTACGGTCATGGCGGTGGTCAAGAAACACAATCCAGCCCAGATGGCCATCCATATTTCTGTAAACTGTTTCTCGCTTTGACTGAAGAGGAAGTCCGCGTCACAACGTAACGCGCATTTTTCGTAACGTTTGACATAATGCCACTTCTGAGGTTCACGGTGATGTTGACAATCAGGCTCACCTGGCTCCTGCGGCACTATCGCGGTCACGACGTCGCCATCAGGGTTACCGATGCCGTTCACGTCACCCTCACCTGGAGGCGGTCCCATACAAATATCATTGCCATCACTTCGCTCAAGAAACTGTGAACAATTCAAAGCTTCAGCCCACTTGAAGCCAAACTTGCTCAAAACAGGATTGCAACTCGCTCGGACGCGTTCACACAGAGGTCGACAGACGCTAATCGGAACGTCAATTTTATCGGTGCAGTATGGCGCGTAGACTGAGCACAGAAAGAAACGAAGGAAAGGAGAGCATCCATATTGGATGAGAGGGGTAAAAGTTTGGAGTTGAAGTTCGGCATCTTGTTGGAGCTCATGACCAACAAGATTGGGCATCCGTGTCATGTTGTAACCCACTCCCTGGCAGAGTTTGATTGTGATCGGTTCACACATTACAGTTTGAGGGTCAAACTCATCAAAGTCTACATCTGGGATTGGTTGGGCTAAACCACTGGTTGGTAGCACAGCCATCACCACCATCAACATCATCACACATGTGTGTAATAATGCGCCTCCATGGCTTTTACTGTTCCTCCAACATTTCGGATGTTGATTGAAACAATGTTTGTGACCCTCACACTGACCTCCTGAAGCACATTGCATGTCTTTCATTTCTGTTCTCCCCATGACGGCGATAGATGTTTATCTTCCGATTAGATCACAAACCAAACCCAAAATGAAACCCTTCCACTTTTTAAACTGGTGATGAAGTAAAAGGTGGGGTAAGAAAGATTATCTTGAATAATGTCGCTCGGTACCATAGACATCCAACCTTATCGTCAGCATGAGAGTTCGCGACACATGAAAGTCGAATAAATCCCTGAAGTTTTTCTTAGGAGAGGTAGATATGAGAGAGAGAGAAAAACGTCACCCTGGAGCAGAATTCTCTCTCTTCTTCTTGGTCGGTGTTTTTCTTCTCCCCTTATGGTTTCAGCTGCGGCAGAGAGGCGCGGCTCATGAAGGCTACATCATGTAATTAACTCCACATTGCTGCTAGGATTTAGGCTATGCTCAGTCTGGACAGACAGGTGACACCAGAGATGAGGTGAACTCGTGCACAAAAAACACTATATTCCGATGGTAATCCTACTGGGTTTCCATACGGCTAGTCCTGCGTTGAGTGAAGCTGGGCTCCCGCTCACAATCCCCCGATAATCACAGCGCCTTTCCCGCTATTGAGCCCTCCAATCACCCATTTCACGCTTGTAAGATCCACCGTGAACTTGTGTAAGTCGCTGTAAAGCACACGGCAAAATCAATTTACGGATCTAATCACAAGGTTTATATTCTGATCATCTAGGAGATGAGGAGAGGAGTTGGTCTGCCAACCACAGATGTTCAAGGAACGGTAATCGGTGCTAGGCTTATGCCAGAGGTAAAAGAGGACACAATGCTTACACGTGTAGACCTTTGATCCTTGCTAAAACCCTCAGACCAAGTCGCTTTTGTCCCCAAAACACATTCGCAAAAGCAGAGTATCAACAGACCGAACGATAAGCGATAAAGTTGTGTTAGCTTTTAGCCACCAGAAGTTATTATTAATCCATCTATAACACGTAAAGAGAACCTGCTATGCTTTATTAATAATCCGGTACTTCTCATTAGAGCGTAAACATAAGGCAGGTCTGTCCGCATGCACACACAAGGCTGAAGTGTGTGTGATAATGTTATTAGAGGCGAGCAGAAACAAGAGCAAGGAAGACAACATTTGCTCTTGCACTTTTCGCATAATCTTGTCGCCAGAGATTCTCGAGTGTAATCAAGGAATATTGACACAACATGTGGTGCATATCACGAATCAAGTAAATCCCCTCTCTTTTCTCCTTCTCCACCTTTGTTGGTTCGACACACACGGGCATCGGTCCGTCTGGATAAATCTCAAGGATAGGCACCTTTTTGGAATGCCACAACACAGCAAAAATTGTTTCAGCCAAAGTGCGCTGGGAATACAGAATCACAAATTGCCTCTTGCAGTTTCTCTAATAATTCTCCTCGAGTAATAACTAAATGTCTACCTCTCTCTCTCTCTACCAAGTGTACATCAAGGGGAGGCTCGTTTAGAAACCATCCAGCAAATTACTACGGTCTTGCCACAAAAGTCTGCTTCACAATAGAGGTAATTTCGTAGTAAAGTGCCTTTCTACATCTATCTGGCTTTCCCTTCTGTAGCGGCGTCAAATCGCATCAAATGCCGCACGTTATGGCTAGCAGACGACCGCTACTCATTGTTTTGCTAGTGCGTGAAGCTCCGCCCACCATACACTGACCGACTAATCCGTGATTGGCACTTCCTAGGAACGCGTTGTGATTGGTCAAAGCGCTTACCCTTCGGTCCCCAGTACTCGTATTCTTTATCCGTTCAGACATTAGTAAGTTCTATGGAAAAGATAAAACGAGAGAAACTACATAAATTGCCATACAAAGTGATGATGTGATTTAAGAATCGTATGAATAGTAAAAACAAACTATGAAAATATTTATAAAGGACCAGAGTAGAAATTTTTCAACCATTCAAAGTTTCAAACCAGATTAAATCCCCCAGTCTAACCAAAATATCTTTCAAGGTTTGTAAACACAGACTAATCACTTTCCGAAGTGCTCCGATACCCGTGACAGAAGATGCAACTCACTGTGACCGAAAAAGACAAAACTGAAAATGAGCAGCTAAATAGAAAAATCGAAAATTACCTTTTTTAATCCAGAAAGCACAATCGAAACTAATCAATGTGATTAAGTGAGAAAAGGAGCAAGTGAATTATTTAGCAGCCTTTCATGGAATGCAAATAACAAATGGGGGGGGGGGGGGCATAAAGGACAGGCTTAGAACAAAAGATAAATGTAATGGATAACTTACACGTTAATTTTGCTTTTGATCCCAGTCGAGCACTCATTTTAATGATACGTTATTATAAATAGGCCTCACTTAATTTGATGCAAACTTTTGTGATTGAAATTCGAAGAATGGGATCACTCTCATAATAATAAAAAAATCCGATTGGTGCAAACGTAGCAACAAAAACTGACACGAATCCGTTAGGGGCAACACGGGGCGGGGGGGGGGGGGGGGTTGAACAGACGAAATACAAAAAACAACAAAGTTAATCCTTCATAGCACCTGATATTAATGTATACAACAATTAAATGCTCACTTGTCTTTACAATTCCTGGTCTAAACTTCTCTTTTGGATCATTTTCATGGTCCCTGCCAAAAATCTTTACATCTTCCTTTGAATAAATTCAACAAAGGTAAGATAAAAATTATTCTGCTATAATGATGTTTTCAGCTTACGATGATCACCTCTTGCCCTTGCAACTATTTTCTTTCTTTCCCCTTCAAATCATAGTATGACATAGCAGTATATTACTGTACTCAGTTCATTTCATCAAGATCTCTGTTGTTTTTTAATTCGTATTTTCTTGCGGAAGTTTGTTCGTGGTTTTGCAGTCACGGCTTGTTTGCAAAACATAAAAGATTGAAAAAAGCATGATTGCATATAATATGTCATTCCTGAAATAAGGAAGGCGTGGAAAATTGGGAACTCTTAATCCCCAAACCGTGACGAATTATTCGGCAGCAATAATTTGTGCCCATGGAAAGCATTGTGGGTCAAACAATGGCTATAGGTCGACATGTTATTGTTTCCAGTTTATATTAGTTGTATGATGTAGGGGATGAAATGGGGATAAGCTATGAATGGAATTATTGCCGATGGGCGAGGGGGGGGGTGGGGGGCTTAGCAATTTTCTCAGGGTTCATGCACCTCACTTACTTTCGCTGCATCGCCCGAAACCCTTTCTTTGCTTTACTTCTTTCTCTCTCTCGTCTCTCTCTCTCTCTCAATCTCTCTCTTTTCTGTCCCTTTCTTCCCCTTTTCCCTCCCAGTGCTCCCACTCTCTTCACTCACACTCTCTGTTTCTATCTTCACCCCTCTCTCTTCCACTCTCTCTTTCTCTCTCTCTCTCTTTCTCTCTCTCTCTCACACACTCACTCTCTCTTCCATAGTTCGTTCATCTGGTCTTTGCCCTCCATACCATCGTGCCACGTCCATATTCAGATCCGTTAACCTGAGGCATGAAAGGCAAACCCCATAGTCGTATTATTGTGTCACATGATGTCAAAGTTTAAGTAGGGCAGGTTAAGGGTCACGAGTACCTTTACTTTAAAAAAATATCTGTCAAAATGTTCAACTTATTCTCAAAGAACAGAAAATGAATTAAAACCTACAAACAGAGCGCATTGGGAAAATCATTTTGCGTTCAGGACCGAAGAATCTCTAATTCTATTATTTGTTTTCCTTTTTTCAAATGGATAGGAAAACCTCGAATCTTGTGATGATCATCAAAATGTAGCTTTGTTTTGTTTGTCTCTTGAATTACCATGAATTACAATTATTATCAAACGAAAACAATAAGGGGCAGTAGACGTAGTCCGAGTGGTCATTAGACCAAATGATGATCAGACAAAATCATGATGGAACTACATAGAGACGAAAAGAGTGTCGTTTGACGACTTGTTAGGTAGAAATTGAAATTGGAATATAAAAGTATGCATTAAATAGTAATTCCATATTTCATGATTTGGAAAATCACTTGTGGTTATCCATGTTGGTTACAAAGAAATCTAGTAGTTTGACAGATAACAATGGAAATCGAGAAATGGGGGAGGGGGCAGAGATATTTATTTCACTTGATGACAGATTTGTGTTAGTTATCACTCTTCAAAAACGTACAGCACAAAACGAAATTGTTATGGACAGTATGCTTTATTCCTATATCATCTGTGACCTTCGTCATGTTCATTGCGGTTCCCCCACAATGGCATCACCAGAAAATTGCAGGGGGGGGGGGGGCTCAGCTCAAAGATTATTAGGGCACTATGGAAAGGTTACTTGGTACGTCAAGAGACGGTAAGATCATTTCGTGGTTTTCACAACTCGTTTTAAATATTTAAAGAGGTGACTAAAAAATGTTGCTTTTCATGTCAAAATATATTGATTGTCATGTGTCACGTATCAATAGCCAAGGGGTAATCTCGCTGAATTTGGAGATTCACCAGGGTTCGTAAAAGGTTGCAAGAACGTTCGCGCAAACAGTTGCAAGCGTTCGCAAAACAGTCGTTAGCGTTTGCAATATAGTAGTAAGTCTTTGCAAACGGTTGTAAGACGGTGTCGCTGAAGTTCTTTTTGATTCGCCAATGTTAGCGACCACGTTAACATTATGGTTCCTATATAAAATCGACCCATTGGGTACCAGGAGTTAGCAAAGGGTCCCAAACATTCACAAATTGTGGCAAAAGATTGGTAAATACTTGCTAATCTTCTCAAAAACTGTCGCTAACATTTGCTTACAGTCGCTAATAGTCGCCAATTGCCTATTGCTAACAATTTCGCAACATTCGCTAAAATGTCGCTCATTGTCGCTAAACATCGCTTACTGAGTCGCAAAGGCGAACCCTGATTTTCGCGACATTCTCCAGAAAAGTTGGCGAATCTAAATTCGCAACGTTCGTAAGCATTTGCCGCTCAGCACCCTTTAGGATAAGAGAAAGTCAAGAGAAACTGTCAGTTTTTGTCATCAGTATTTTCAAGAAATCAACTGAAGGAAAATTTCAAATATCAAGTTGTATTGCCTATAAAAAATCACGTCCGGATCATGTCAAATTTCATTATGATTATGGTAATGTTCGCAATTGTTTTTAAATGTGGTGCACCTTTCAAATTGCCTTTGGTTGATGTTTTATATGTGTTTTCGATCCTGTTTATTGTATTTGAGTGATTTATCATGTTTTATTGAATTGTCGCGTGTGGAATTTCTTGTCGTGTAACATTCGAGCTAAATTAATGTAGGCCTAATCAAGATACAAACTTTGAGCATGTGTATAAAGGCGCTATATAAATATCAATATGCATATATGTATTTAACATTGGGTAATTGAAATCATTAAAATTAATCTGGATGCAAAGGTTACAAATAATGCAGATAAAATAGAAGTTACCGAAGAACCTAAACTTGCTAAATAATGCAAGAGAAAGGTTGAATAAGTAATAGAATCATTGAATTGTTTACTAAAATACTGTTATTCGAATAATAATTTTTGTGGGAAATTTCAAAAGTACAGATTGCTTAATTAAAAGGAAAAGACCATTAGTTCATTGCACTCGAGTCGCAACAGATGAGTGACACCGGTACCGTGCCTAATGAACTTGAAAGACCTTTCTTTTATTATTCTATATATCTGATTATGAAACCATAGAAAGATTATTTACTATGTTTTACCATCCATGACTATATCATACATTTAATTGAACTCTGTATACTCTTTGAAAAGGAGAGATTTGATTTACAAAAATACAATTGTATACAAAGTAGAAAATGGGAAGAAATTTACGATATCATCGTGTCACCTAATACTGAGGTCAGTACAACCAGTCACGGGGTGGTGGAGGGGTGTTACCCCTTTATCATGGGTCCATGGTAGAAAATATTGTATTTTTGAAAAGTACTTAATATAGATTAATTCTAAAGAAATTGAGCGCCAAGTAGAGGCATTTACTGCCATAAACATCATCATCATCATCATCATCATCCTCACCATCACCTCTTTATCATAAATATTGCCATTCGTTTGGGCTACCTCCCCCCCCCCCCCCCCCCCCCCGCCTCCAATCGGCTCTTTGCCACTGAATATAACCGCGGTCCATCGTATGATTGTGACGTTTAGACACGGTGAATAGCACCAGACAGAGCGGTTTATCCGTCATTTTCATTCCAGGAATAACTTTGAGTTTGAAGGCCTGTCTTTCTGAGGACCTGAGCTGGATAGTGACATCATGATCCCACTCATAATGAAAGGATTGCTTCCCAGAATCCCTAGGCGGGAGGTTCTACATCTCAAGGATTCTCAAGTTCAACGTGGGTGCAGGCAGAGGCGTCGTTAGAGAGAGAGAGAGAGAGAGAGGGGGGGAGAGAGAGAGAGAGGGGGTGGGAGAGGGAGAGAGAGAGAGAGAGAGAGAGGGGGAGAGAGGGAGAGAGAGAGAGGGGAAGGAAGAGAGAGAGAGGGGAAGGAAGAGAGAGAGAGAGAGAGGGGAAGGAAGAGAGAGAGAGGGGAGAGAGGGAGATAGAGAGAGAGAGAGAGAGAGGGAGAAGGAGATGGAGAGAGAGAGAGAGGGGGGAGAGGGAGAGAGATGGTGGGGAGAGAAAAAA